GAAACTTGGCATACAAGTAGTACATGGAAAACTATTAGACACGTATATTGTTATATCGGCCCGAAAGCCGTTTGAAGGGTAGAAATCACCCTTATCTATTTTGGGGGTAGGTTCGATTATTTGACGAATTATTCTTACGATTGTTGCGAAATCAGGTAACTAAGGGTTTTTGGGGTCGCTGATAACGAATCTGAAATCCGTTTTTAAGAATTTAAAATGGCGGATCCAATATGGCGGTCGCATTTTTTCAAAAGTTTTACACCCTGTCAAAAAGTGCGAAAATTGCAAAAAAGTAATAAATGAACATAACTTTGAGGTGAATTTGTAGCAAAAAGGTCCTAATCGAGAACTATCCCTAACAGTAACATCGGGGTGCTTTTTGAACGTGAGTCCCCTTGCCTCTCACGAATCGGGGTGCTTTTTGAACGTGAGTCCCCTTGCCTCTCACGAATCGGGGTGCTTTTTGAACCTGAGTCCCCTTGCCTTTCACGAATCGGGGTGCTTTTTGAACGTGAGTCCCCTTGCCTCTCACGAATCGGGGTGCTTTTTGAACGTAAGTCCCCTTGCCTCTCACGAATCGGGGTGCTTTTTGAACGTGAGTCCCCTTGCCTCTCACGAATCGGGGTGCTTTTTGAACGTAAGTCCCCTTGCCTCTCACGAATCGGGGTGCTCTTTGAACGTGAGTCTCCTTGCCTCTCACGAATCGGGGTGTTTTTTGAACGTGAGTCCCCTTGCCTCTCACAAATCGGGGTGCTTTTCGACTTACACTTTAAATTTCTCTCACGACAGTTTCTTGCAGGACTATTAATAAAGGGGACTTTAAATCTCCGTTGGCAGAAACGATTGGCTGAATAGTGTAGCTGTGCGTCAAAGAATTCAAAGATTGCGCTAAACACTCAACTTTCAATGATCCTTTTAAAGCAAGCGTTCGACCTGCATGCGTTTCTAAATTGAACCCCGATTGATCGGAATTATAGACATTGTCTTCACCTACCAACATGATCTCTGATTCTACAAATTCGCCTCAAAGTTATGCTCATTTCTTACTTTTTTGCAATTTTCGCACTTTTTGACAGGGTGTAAAACTTTTGAAGAAATGCGACCGCCATATTGGATCCGCCATTTTGAATTCTTAAAAACGGACTTCAGATTCGTTATCAGCGACCCCAAAAACCCTTAGTTACCTGATTTCGCAACAATCGTAAAAATAATTCGTAAAATAGTCGAATCTACCCCCAAAATAGATAAGGGTGATTTCTATCCTTCAAACGGCTTTCGGGCCCATATAACAATATACGTGTCTAATAGTTTTCCATGTATTACTTGTATGCCAAGTTTCAGGAAAATTGCCGTATGACACTTCCCTAGTGTTACTTGTCAGTATCCTGCGACGACAAACAAAATCAACTAAAAATAGGAGACGCCGTGCTCAAATTCCATTCATTTAATAAAATAATTTTATAACTGCGCAGTGAAACCATTGTAAAAGCAGCAACCAATCAAAATCGGATAGGACTAGTACGAGCAGAAGAAACAGCTCCAAGAATCTATATCGGAAATTGCTTAGTAGAATCAAAAAAACATGCATGCCCCGTTAGTGTAATGAATACGACCGATATAGAAGTCGAAATACAGACGCCGCATGTTGTTCTCGAAGATGTAGAATACGACCGAGAATCCGAAATACACACTATACAAACGAGAAAAAATGTTAAACTTACTTCTTCACGATACTCGCAAATTTGACAACTATTACGAACACAGCATCTAAATTCAGAAGAAAAACGGGCACCCTTACGGATATGCGAAGAATATTACGATACATTTCAGTTGGACGGAAAACCACTGACGTGCACTGCGACGGTAGAGCACGAGATAAACACGCGCGCCGATACCTCACCAGTAAACACGAGACCGTATTGCCTTCCGAAAAGGCATGAGACGGAAGTAAATAAAAAAGTGCAAGAAATGTTAAAAAACGGCATAATCCGAACAAGCGCGAGTCAATGGAACGCACCCCTATTAGTGGTACCGAAAAAGGCCAATGCATCTGGAAAACCAAAGCTCCGAATAGTAGTAGATTTTCGAAAGCTAAATGATCTGACGATAGGCGACTCATTTCCACTGCCCAAAATCACCGATATATTGGACCAGTTAGGAAACGCCAAATATTTCACTACCTTAGATTTGGCATCAGGATATCACCAGATACCGATGACCAAACGAGATAAAAATAAAATAGCATTTTCAACGCCCTACGGACATTACGAGTTTAATAGAATGTCGTTTGGACTAAAGAATGCGCCAGCCACTTTCCAGCGATTGATGAATTCAGTTTTGACAGGAATGCAAGGACTAAAATGTTTAGTTTATCTGGTTGACATCGTTATATATGGATCAAGCCTAGAAGACCACAACAAATATACGGCCTGAAGTACTACAGAGACTTCGAGAAAATAATCTAAAATTGCAGTCGGATAAATGCGAATTTTTACGCAAGGAAGTGATTTACTTAGGTCACATTATTTCGGAGGATGGAATATCTCCGGATCCGTCAAAATTAACGGCAATAAAAGAATTTCCGACGCCAAAAAAAGTGAAGGATATACAATCTTTCATAGGACTAGCCGGATATTACAGAACATTCATAGAAGACTTCTCTAGAATAGCCAAGCCACTGACTAAATTAACCAAGAAAACAGAAAAATTCGAGTGGACAATGGAACAGCAAAATGCTTTTGAAATATTACAAGAAAAATTAATGACGACGCCAGTGCTAAAATATCCAGACTTTACTCAAGAATTTATAGTGACCACCGATGCCTCCGACTATGCAATCGGAGCAATATTGTCACAAGGAAAAGTAGGCAATGACCGGCCAATTGCTTACGCCAGCAGAGTTTTATCGCAGGCGGAGCAGAATTATAATACAACATAGAAAGAATTATTAGCAATTGTATGGGCTGTAAAACATTTTAGGCCCTACGTATACGGTACGAAATTCAAAATCGTAACCGATCATAATCCATTAATCTGGTTATTTAATGTAAACGATCCCGGATCGAGACTGATCCGATGGAGATTAAAGCTCGAAGAGTATGATTATGAAATCATTCATAAAGCCGGATGAGCGAAAGCGAATGCCGATGTACTGAGCCGCAATGTAAAAAGAGACACACATGAAACAGAAGAGGAGCGAGAAGTCCTCGCAATAGAAGAAGAAACGAACTCCGACGAAGAGAAAAAATATACGGAGGAAAAGAAGAAACAGATATTATACGAATATCACGATGCACCCACAGGAGGACATCAAGGAATCGAGCGAACAATAAAAAGAATCCGCCTAAATTATAATTGGCACGGATTAACAAAAGACGTCGAAAAATACATATCAAAATGCGAATTTTGCCAAAAAAA